AGCTTCCATACCTTTCACTGCACTGAAAATATCGGCAAGTTGAGCTATTTCGTCTAATATAGCTGATTGTGGGAAAATTTTATTCAAAACTGCAAGCGGCGATGTTAGATCCTGCACCGATAAGCTACTTTGGTTTTGGTTTTAACGGTCAAGCGTGAACTAAGAATGACGCTGTAAACTGGTTTAATTAGGAATGACACTCTAAATTGGTTTAATTTTACCTAAATTTCGTCTAAATAATAAAGCTCCAGAGGCTTTTATACACAATTTTATCCAGGACTAGATGAATATACAAATATGCATAATTATAATGGAATTTATACGAACACACAATAGCATATGAGTAAAATATACATGGAAATATAGGGCTAGATAAAATAACAGCAAGCAACCCTCTCTCTTTTTTCACCTATATTTTCGTAGTATACAAATCACGTATATTACTAGCACCCATAAATTTTCGTAGTACACAAATACATTTTGTAAAAAATATGCCTGTATATACATATATATGAGAAAAGATTGAGCAGCTATATAAAGATTTAAAGTTACTCTTCTACACTTGTCTGCTCCTGTATACTCTGGTAAATTCCAGAATAATCGTGGATTCATAAAATAAAAATCTCTACTGGTCGCAGCAAATAATTCCGATTCACCGGCTTCTCCAGTTTACATTATCGTTGTTGTTGCATTCAGATATCGATAAATGATATCAGAGAAAAAATTTACAAATTTTTTACTATTCTTTTAAATTGTTTACATGCATATATACATACATACACACATACATACATACACACATACATACATACACACATACATACATACACACATACACACACATACATGCACACATACATACACACATACAAACACACATACAAACACACATACATACACACATACATATATACACACGTATGTATGTTTCCATGTATGTATGCATCCTTACTCACTTGTGTGCATTTACGTAATTTATAAAAAATGTTTATATAAGCCCGAATTTCCTCCCGTACTTAGTCCATAAGGCAGGAAAATAGTCTGATTAGTAACAAGTACTAGCAAAACTGCCAGTGGCAACTCCTTGCTTTTAAGATGCTTGCATAACGTGTACTGGTTGCAGCTATTTTCAAAAAAAAATTCGGATATTCCTATTTCCCAATTCAGCTGCTATGAATAATTTAGCTGTAAAATCTGCTATTTCTGTTATATATTTCAGCAATTCACTATCTTTCTTTTTTTACACAGCGCTCCAAGTTCGACCATCTTTATTTTTTCATAAAAACAATAGGTGCTAATGCAAAAAAATACCTCGAGGAAGCGGCGCTGATAGCTTCGGAAATTCGATCATGCAGGAGCTTGACGGCGGGTTTGTTGGACGATCGTTGTATGAATGAGGCGAGCGAACGTCTATTCAGCAGAGCACATAACAGACTGCTAACAAGCTGAGCACTGTTCAGACAAACACACATCACCGTCAGTGCTAATCCATTGGCACTGGACGTACCGACATCCAGAAGTTGATTGATACTTGGCTCAACCATGAACGGATCTAACGATAACAGCTGCAATATGAAAATTTCACACTCTACAGAACTATAATCTTACAATTCCCACAGTTCCCCAACTGTCAATTTATTATTATTATCATTATTATTATCGTTATTACTATTATTATCGTTATTATTATTATCGTCATTACTATTATCACTGTTATTATCCTTATTATTATCACTATTATTGTTGTCATTATTACTATTATC